TTTCCACTTCCTGACAACTCTATGACTATAGTAATACTTCCTAACATCCCTGTGACCCGTCTGAGTCTTCAGCTTCCAGTTGTGACCCCTTGTTGCTGTGTCAATTTCTCTCGGTATTTTATATGTCGTTATCATGTCTTCCCTATCCCTCCTGTCCTCCAGGTTGATCTCCCTTAACCTCTCCTCGTAGAACATACCTCTTAGCTCCGTGACTAGTATTGCTGCAAACCTCTGTACTTTGGTGTATATTGTCTTGATTGATTCCTTACTCAGGTGTCGAAACGCTATTCTTAGGTTTACCAGGCGCTCATGTGCTGTAGTAGTTATTTGGTTGATGTGAACTTCAGGAGGTGTGCTCGGTATGATACTCACCCCAAGATCATTTTCCTTGAGTGAGGTTTGCAGCCTTTGGCCTCCATCTCCGGTCTTCTTTCGCCTTCCCCAATCTTCCTGACTTTGCAATTGGTGGGGTTATACTCCTGGAGACAGTTGTTTGACCAGGCTTGCAGCCTGTCCAGATTCCTTTGTAGTCCTACCTCAGCCTTATCCGTTTGAATTCTCCACATTTGTTTCACATTGTCTGAATCTATTCATTCCGTCATGTCAATCACTTATACCAGAAACAGCACGGCCCTAGGACTGACCCATGTGGAACCCCGCCCGTCACATGCACTCACTCTGACACCTCCTCACATAACATCACTCCTTGTTTCCTTCCTGTGTGGACATATGGACTAGTGATGTACATTAATGATTATGGATTAAGTCACACCCACGTCAGTTTTAACTTCATGGAGGATGACATCAACTGTAGCAACAGTGTTACCCAGGGAAGAACACATTCGGCGATTTCGGTGTTGTTGGGGGATTTCATAGGCACGTTGTGTCTTCACTGTGCAATGTACAAAAGGAAGTAAGATCCACGCTGAGCGAAGCTTTGATACATTAAAAGCTTAAACTTTTTATGTGGATTTTCCCTGAGAACTGATACAGAGGTTTATTTAGTACTCTGAGTCAGAAATAATTGTTCTTGACTGAAGATCAAAGCCAAAGTGTTGAAGTTGCAGCAATTGTTTATTTCATAGCGATAACTGTTTTAGAGAAATGTGATATTGATGTGATACTACTTCATCAACAGTCTATGATTTGGGTCAAATTTTAAATAAAGTTTACTTTAGGTTTATGTGTAGAAATACCTCGATTAATAACTACATATCCCCAAAAATATATTTCATCCTAAAAAAAAAATCACGTATGTGTATTATTTAACTTTGCGTTTAATTTAAGCTAATTTATGTAGAATGTTATCTGCATTATTAAGGTGAGTTGATTATATATATATATATATATATATATATATATATATATATATATATATATATATATATATATATATATATATATATATATATATATATGTATCTATATATATATATATATATATATATATAATATTATATATATATATATATATATATATATATATATATATATATATATATATATATATATATATATCAATCTTAAAATAAGTGGGTACTTCGAAAAATTTCTAGTCGGTACAGCTGGGCTTTTTTTCAGCAATCTTCATACACAGTTATCATCCAAACATCTTAAGTGGAAAAATCTATTATTATTATTATTCTCAATTATGTGTAGCAGAACCTTGAAGGGAAAGTGCACATGAGCCAACTTAAAACGTCTATAGGGAACATTTCGCCTATACGACCCTGATCACTCTTATGGGACTGATTCAAGCTCCAATTTCATCCCGTTTCCCATTAAATATTTTAATTATTAGATCACGTATCATTTACTAAATTTTCATCGTAGAACTAGCAGTAGAATTTGGCAACACTCTACGGTGTGCTAGGTGCAGTCTTTCTTAGGCACAGGAAACACTCTAGACAAAACACTTATGATAATTTGCTTTATCTGCGAGCATAACTTGTACAGGTTCCTCTGTAATATCTCTCCGAGAATGAGTTAATCTGTATGCAGGGATGTAAATTAACTATTTCCTGGTTCTGGGGGAGTTCTGGGGCTAGCCAACTCTCTGGTACTGTGCATGATAGTGCTCAGTGACACAGTGCATGATGTTGCTCATTAACACGTTGGTTCATGGTGTTTACTGACACTGTACATGATGGAACTCTGACACTATGTCTGCTTGTGTTCATATCGTTTTGGAAGAGTGGGGGTGATTAAATCATGTGGGATATTGTAATACATTATATTCAGTAAAACAAATAGACCTCTTCCTGGTGAATGCATTTCTTTAGCGTATAATCGAAGAGTAACTTCGATCCTGTGCGCTCAGGTACGTCATTTATAGTGTACTGTGGTGGGGTGGGATATCTATTGTTGTGGCTGAAATGTCGGCTGCTAAATAAACCAGACGTGTGTTACCTCGGCGTTCTGAGTCTTCTTCAGCCACAATAGGGAATGGCTCGTTAAAGATTAAGAAGAGGTCTCGGACAAGAGTTTTGTGGAGGAACAGAGTTACTGCTATTAGAACTTACATTTCTAGGCGTCGTGATGGCGCTACCAAGGGATAGGATGGAACATTTCATTCCTTCAATGATTTCTTTAGTGCTTTAACTGAGTTTTGTGGGAGCTATTTTCTCTCTTGGTATTACAGAGCAGGAAGTGAAGAAAATTTTCTTGCTGCTGTCACTTGGCTCAGAAATATAAAACATGCTGGGTAATTTATGTGCACCAGATTTACCTCACACCAAGAATTATGACGGCTTGGTACTCATTAAAGGGTCATTACACTGTTAGGTCATCCTATTATCGCAGTCTCTTGGCTTTTCAACGAAACAGAAACAGTCTTTACATGAGTTGTACGCAGAGTTTCGCCAAAAGACTGTAATTTTGGTAACCAGTTGACCCTAGACTTAGAGATGAAGTTTTACAGATTTTGTAGGATCATAATGTAGTCAGTTATATGAATAAATAAGTGTTGAAGACTCGTGCCATCGGCTATCTTCGATATCAAATTTCTAGGGAACGTACTAGGCCTCTTAATAAGGTGGAATCAATTTTGAATTTTCCGTCTCCTAAGTCGGCAGGGAAGGGTCACAGACCTTTATAGGCATAGTTACATGTAACTAAATTTGGTTATCATTTCTCTAATATTATCACCATTGTATGATTTGCTGAAAAAAGTAGCAAGTTTAAACGGTGTTCCGTAGAAGAGAATGCTGTTCAGAGAACATATCATTTAATTGTTGCAATCAATCCTGTTGAGAAATTTTACAGGAAAGTGTCCTCTGAAATTTGAGGTTTATGATTTCCCCGTAGGCGTTGATGTGTACTTTTGGAGGAAGTTAATGGTCAAGAGAACTAAATTATTCACAGTAGGAAGCAGTAATAATTCTTATTAGAGAGAAAGTGTGTTGTTTGAACAGATCAGAAACAATATTCCACTGGATGCAAAGACCAGGTTGTAGAGTTTGGTTTTATTATTATCCCAATATCAGTATGATTTAATTTACAGATCTGACAAAGAAAATGTTATTACATATTCTTAAAGTAGATTTCTTGTTCGAGATAAACTGGTTTGAAGTACACCTCTGGAGTACATAACATTCGTGGAGTACTTGCTCTTCATGGGCATTTCTTTTCAAACCATCAGGCTGGTGACTAGTTAGGAGTCTTTTTTGACACGGTTATTGAATAATCTTAAATTTGGATGGTGTGGAAATAATGCAGCATTAGAGTTAAGTATCCATAATGATGTAATTTTGTACAGAAACAGAGTTGTAGTTTGTGCGGAGCTAAGTTCTAGAGTATTGAAACAGTTACATGTAGACGATAGTGGTATCAGTGCTATGAAAAAAGTCACGGAACTCGCTTTGGTACCCTAAAATGGACCAAGATATTAGTGAAGGCAGTAAGAATTGTCAAATTTATTTCAAGAATTGAAAACAACCTTCAGTGGAAATAAATGGTATAAAATACTGACACGATGGAAAAATAGACAGAAATGCAATAAAATTCGATCCTTTATTGACAACGTTTCGCCCACACAGTGGGCTTTATCAAATCACAGACAGATCTACCTGGGCAGAGTACATGAGAATTAAAACAAGGCACAATACCATGACTCGAACATAGAAGAGAGGAGATACGACGACGTTTCGGTCCGATTTGGACCGTTTACAAAGTCACACTAACGAAAAGGAGAGAAGGAAGGGGGTATATATAGGCAGGAGGTGGTAGTAGTAGTAGTAGTAGTAGACGGCGACTGTTAAAGTTGGAAGTAGGGAAGACAGTTTTAGCAGAAACTAAACTGTCTTCCTTACTTTCAACTTTAACAGTCGCCGTCTGGTTGAATTCTCCCTAATACACAACTTTCCTTGTATGAATCTTAGTCGTGGCTTCGTCTCTGTAGATGCCTTCCTTTCCCACTACATTGTAAAATCCTCCAAACTTCAGAACACCCGTGACTTAACCTGATTCCTCCTTTTTCTCCCTCTTCCCCTTACCTCCTTTTTTTTCTCCTTTTGGATGTCTTCTGCCTTGTGTATTTGTTCCTTCATTATTTATTTATTCCCCCCCCCCTCTGTGTTCTTGCTCTTGCCCTGCGTGAGCACCTAGCTCCCTTGCAGTGCTCCTCTTTCTCAGTATTTGACTGGCTCCTCCTCCTTCTTACTACCTTCCTCACTACTACTTCCTTCTACCTCCACTACTACTACTACTACTACTACTACTACTACTACTACTACTACTACTACTATTACTACTACTACTACCACTACTACCTTCTGCCTATATACACCTCTCCTTCTCTCCTTTTCGTTAGTGTGACTGTAAATGGTCCAAGTCGGACCGAAACGTCGTCGTAGCTCCTCTCTTCTACGTGCGGGTTATGTGTGTGCATGAGAATATATAGGATGGAGAGTCAAGTGGAGAATGCATTCTCCACGTGACTGTGTGGGTGTAGCGTAGTCAATAAGGAGTCGCATTATACTGCCTTTGTGTCTATTTTTACAACAACCTTCAGTACTGTCTTGGCTATTGTTGCATGCAAAGAGTACGAAACTTTTAATTGGCGCATGTACACACCCTCATTGAAAGGCTATCTCCCAACCAGCGAACCAGTACTAGGGTCGAACGATGGGGCCCCATCGTTCGATCACTACCAAGGTTCAGCCAATGAGAAGATGGTTCTGGCAATCGCAGAGATGTTGTGGGCACCAACCCGCCTGTCCACCCTTGTCATTTCCATACTAGAGCTGGTTGAGCACGGTTGTCCATTCTGTCTCCAGGCTGTGTCTTGTCCTTGCCTAAACCGTGTTGTACACATACATTTTCCAACTGTATATAGTGTACATATCTGTAAATATCCACATTACTCTTGGTGAGGGAAAATATATTTCAAAGTCATTCAACTGTGTTTGTTCTGCTCCTTGCTCCCCTTTACACCCAGGATAACAGGCCTTATTGTCCCTGGGTTGTAATAGCTATGGACAAGAAAACAGCGGTCTAGATTACATATCTATTATGCTCTTTCTGTTGGCAATAAATACCTTCTTGTTAGTGCAGATTCTCGGAATTTTTGGATTCTCATGTAACTACTATTATGATTACCGCAGAGTTGTTATGACCTCTGCATACTCGTGTTCATTCTAACTTAAAAGAATGAGGGGGGAATTAAAAACCAAGTAGGATGCTGCAAATACAATATATTCAGTAAAACAAATAGGTTGGCTTCAATACAACAGCTGCAGTAACCTTGATTTATAATTATTGAAAGTAAAACTGACAGTGAGAGAAACTGTTCTCTCTCAGCCGGGTTGTCCAGGTGTTGTGGGACCTAATGGATCGTGTTCCTTCTTCTGATTTGTTCTTTCACGTGCTGAAACTGGAACAAATCTTTGGTTCATACTCGAACAGTTATTTCGTGTTCATTTACCAGTTGTGAGTTAAAATGGAAAGATATTCCACACTTCTTCCCAGGAGAGAAAGATGTAGTGGTACTGCAGTTTGTGCTTCATAACTGTCACTCGTGGTCGTGCGTCACACTTGTGGTCATGCGTTACATTATTATGTTCAATATATACAAGTACATGTACAAGGTAAACAAATACATGAACAAGGTAAACAAATATATGAACAAGGTAAACAAATACATGAACAAGGTAAACAAATATATGAACAAGGTAAACAAATACATGAACAAGGTAAACAAATACATGAACAAGGTAAACAAATACATGAACAAGGTATACAGGCCTAGCTGACATCAATGACTCGTGGTCGTGCGTTACACACATGGTCGTGCATAAGTCACTCATGGTTGTGCATCACGCTCGTTGCTTGTGGTCACGTTTCACATGGTCATGTTTCACACTGCTCTCGTATCAGTTATAAGACGACTGACAGCTGTTGCAGTTCTTGGAGTTGATGTAGACAGTCTTGGAGGCAGTGTCGCAGACGGAGGGTCTGATCTTCACCTGCAGCTTGGTGACAATTGAAGTGGAGTAATAGCAAGTGTAGTTGAGGCCCTGGTTGTAAGATGACGTAGGGTTACCGTAGAGGCAGCCGCTATAGTACCACCAGCCGCCACCTATAGCTGATGAGCAGTTCCCTATGGATGAGATAGACAAATTCACAAGATTTTCCTACAAAATACAAAATATAAATAAAATGGGCCACTGTCTCAAAAAAAGTCATCCGAAGCACTCACAGAGGTCATTACTGCTGAATTAGGTATATTTTCTGGGCACAGTAAGAAGACGTATAACTGAGAGGAATGGAATTCTGTTAAACAGTCGACAGTGCAGTTTTAAATGAGGTCTTTGCTGAACAAATCACTGAGATTATTATTGCTAGATTATATATTACTAAATTTGAAAGGAGAAACTTTGGTTTTTTCTTTTGGGCCACCCCGCCTCGGTGGGATACGGCCGGTGTGTTGAAAGAAAGAAAGAAAGATTATATATATATATATATATATATATATATATATATATATATATATATATATATATATATATATATATATATATATATATATATATATGTAATAGGTTGGTAGACAGCAACCACCCAGGGAGGTACTACCGTCCTGCCAAGTGAGTGTAAAACGAAAGCCTGTAATTGTTTAACATGATGGTAGGATTCCTGGTGTCTTTTGTCTGTTTCATAAACATGCAAGATTTCAGGTACGTCTTGCTACTTCTACTTACACTTAGGTCACACTACACATACATGTACAAACATATATATACACACTACTCTGGGTTTTCTTCTATTTTCTTTCAAGTTCTTATTCTTGTTTATTTCCTCTTATCTCCATGGGGAAGTGGAACAGAATTCTTCCTCCGTAAGCTATGCGTGTTGTAAGAGGCGACTAAAATGCCGGGAGCAAGGGGCTAGTAACCCCTTCTCCTGTATATTACTAAATATAAGAAGAGAAACTTTTGTTTTCCTTTTTGGGCCACCCTGCCTTGGTGGGATACGGCCGGTTTGTTGAAAAAAATATACATATATACAAATGTCGTGCTGAATAAATAAAGCTTGCAATTTGAGCTTAAATATCAACGCTCTTCTTGCCGAATAAGGCAAGCGAAAATTTGTGTATGCAATAATTTCGCAAAAATCATTGTGAACCTAACTAAAAAAATATATTTCATTGTGTTTGTTTATTATTAAATTATTGTAAACGTATCTAAAATATATTTAGCTGAATTAGGCTAAATTAAATTGCGCTTGTTATGAAAAGGTTGAGTTTTCTAAGGTTCTTTTGATCCAAAATTATTAATATTTTTACATTAACATATTTGAAAAAAATGTCTAAACGTATAAGAGAAAATTTTAGAAAGAACTACATTTTAAACGAGTTCTTGCTAACTGACCAATTTTACCTATTCGACACGACATATACACACACAACATGAGAGCAGAGGAATTGTTTTAGTTGTTATAAAATCGTTAACCACACTTCATTTTACATAAGTTGTACTTAACAGCGCAGAGAATATATTGAACGATTTCTAGGAGAGATCTGCAGAGGACAGCGACACTAGGAAACTGCTGCTCAGAACATGATGTATCTGTATATGTGTCTGTGTGTCTGCTGTTTCTCCATTCTTATGTTCTGTATGTTGTTATTACTGATAATACTACCAATATTTTATGAATCTGTAATGAATGATTCTAGTCTTCCTGGTCCTTCCGTTTTAACTCTGATCAACCCCAGATCTTATTCGTCTTATAAATACTGATTAGCATTGAACATCATGAAATGGTATCGTCAAGATTCTTTATTTTCTACCCTAAAGCTATATAAGAAATATGTTCTTGCTTAACTTTTTTCTGAAAAACGCTACCAATGCACTTCTTTTAACTATGATCAAATTATCTCTTCTGTCTCTACAAAAATCTCAGTCCCTTTTTAATACAAAAACTGAAGTACCTTAAACATTTAGTTTTTTCTCAGATTATCAGCAACAGATTTTGTCAGGCTGGTTCTTCTGGTGATCTTTCTTATCCCATTCAAGTTAATGGTAAATATTTTAGCATAAGTCTAGGGATTTCAACAGCTTTTGGCGTGCTATAGGACAAATATTCTACCTGTTGGTTACGCATTTAGTCTACAAACTCATTTCAAACTTCTCTATACAGTATTCATCTCTGTTTTTTTTTTATTGTAAATGGCTGAGGTTCCACTTATTTCTGTATTAACTGTGTTATGCGAGAACCTGCGCCGTACTCTGATCATTTCTCATTGTTTATTGTAAATGGCTGAGGTTCTACTTATTTCTGTATTAACTGTGTTATGCGAGAACCTGCGCCGTACTCTGATCATTTCTCATTGTTTGTTAATCATCTAAGCATTAGTGTATAACAACCTGCGCCGTACTCTGATCATTTCTCATTGTTTGTTAATCATCTAAGCATTAGTGTATAACAACCTGCGCCGTACTCTGATCATTTCTCATTGTTAATCATCTTAGCATTAGTGTATAACAAACGTTGTCTTCAGAAGCAAAGTTGATAATCTTACCAATGCTATTGACGTTATAATTGTCATAAGTAGTGAAGCCGTAATAGCCTAAGTGGAAACAGTTGCTGGACACAGTACCAGACGAGTGTCCATGTGAAGTCAACCTGTATCTGTAGTGAAGAAACAGTTAATATTGTAACTCCTGGAAGTAAATGGTATAAAATACCGACAAAATGGAAAAATAAGCACATAAGCAGTATAATGTGATCCTTTATTGACAATAGTTTCGCCCACGTTGTCAATAAAGGTTCATATTATGCTGCTTATGTGTTTATTTTTGCATTGTAACTCCTGTTAGTCAAAGTTTTGTCTTCACCAATGAATCATCGAAATCTGTATTAGTGATTATCTCTATTAATCGGGAAAGGCAAAACCCTGTGAACGTCATTCTGCGTCTAGGAAATGCGAGGTAATTAGGTTTCATCCATGCAAGGTAAACGTAGTTCCAATTCCTTGGATCAAGAATCTTGTCTGTATCAGTGAATTGGGTAAATTTATGCTTTTAGCAGACATTCACTTACCAAATAGTATACAATACCCACAATTATGAAGAATTAGACACGTGTGCAACATTTGGGTATCTTCATTGTAGATGTTTCGCCATCCAGTGGTTTTATCAGTACAATACAAGGACATAATGTGAAGCCTGGTAATCAGTCCCTCAGCCTAAGAGCAGGTGATGAGCACTGTGGTCTTGAAGACTCTTAAGTACAGGCAGGAAGATTGGTGCTTATATATTGGCAGTATATATTGGCAGTATATACTGCCAGTATATACACAAATAACTCTAACTTAGGACATTGAAACTTATGATAACGTTTCGGTCAGATTTAGACGATTAACAAATTACACAGTGACTGGATTATGCAGTTCATTTCTGATCTCCATACTAGTGAATGGATATAAATTCATTGGACAACAAAGAGAGAACAATGATAAAATTAATCCATTGCACAGTAATTCTTTCATACGAAGATAGACTGAGATCAAACCATACCACGAGTGGGGTTTGAACCAGCGGTCAGAGAGTCTCAAAACTCCAGACCGTCCCGTTAGCCACTGGAGTTCTGAGACTCTCTGACCGCGGGTTCAAACCGCACCCGTGGTATGGTTTGTTTGCAACCGTGTCATTACGATTTCGTGAGTCATACATTGAGATCCCTTAACATACATTCTCCTGCAGGACGTAGAATTGTGAGGAGACATGACTCAAGTATATAAGTGGAAGATACCTGGAGAATACCTGGAAGAGTGTCTCAGGTGTCAACGCCCCCGCGGTCCCGTCCATGACCAGGCCTCGGGCATAAGTAAGGGAGACATGAACAAGGTTTTAGAGATATCCTTCCAAGAAAGAACTCGAGATAATGAATTCAGATTGGATAACAGGGCTGTATGACCCTTGTGGGTTTAGCGCTTAGTTATGATTATAATAATGATCAAATTGGATAAGTTCAGGTTCAGTTAGTCAGTTCCAGTATATCTCTGACAGCTTCCTGCTCTTCCTTCTTCACTTCCTGGTGAAGCTGCTCCAGAGAAGACAGTGTTGGTTCCGTTCACAGAAAGCTAACAAGGAGTATCCTCACACCATACAGGTCAACTTGCTCCTCATACAAGTCAGCTCGCTGCTGATACAAGTCAGCTCGCTACTGATACAAGTCAGCTCGCTGCTGATACAAGTCAGTTCGCTGCTGATACAAGTCAGCTCGCTGCTGATACAAGTCAGCTCGCTACCGATACAAGTCAGCTCGCTACTGATACAAGTCAGCTCGCTATTGATACAAGTCAGCTCGCTGCTGATACAAGTCAGCTCGCTACTGATACAAGTCAGCTCGCTACTGATACAAGTCAGCTCGCTACTGATACAAGTCAGCTCGCTGCTGATACAAGTCAGCTCGCTACTGATACAGGTCAGCTCGCTACTGATACAGGTCAGAGCTCTACTGACACATATCACACAGCATCCATGTAAAAGGAAAACCATGGGCAGGATGACCTGCCAACTATGTGGCAGGATGACCTGCCAACCATGTGCCAGGTTGACCTGCCAACCATGTGCCAGGTTGACCTGCCAACCATGTGGCAGGTTGACCTGCCAACCATGTGCCAGGTTGACCTGCCAACCATGTGCCAGGTTGACCTGCCAACCACGTATCAGAATGGTGTGTCGTTCACCATGGTGGAAAAAGATGCTTCAGTTGCTGAAAATTTGATTCCTTTTCTTCTTGCCAGTTTCGTGATCCAAGGAACTAGAACTATCATTTTTTTCAGTCTGATCAAACCTGATTACCTGCCGTTCCTAAGGTGCTAAATCCCCCCTGTTGGTCTAGCATTTCCCCTTAAGATATATTACTACTAATTATTCAGATGTAAAGATTCCCAGCTGATGTAGTTTACTTTCCAGCTCACCTGCTTGCTTCGTTGTCAACTCTGACATTCGAGTAAGTGTAGTATTTATTTCCGCTAGTCTGGTATTCCAAGTCAAGACGGAAGGCGAAGTCTTGTCTCGCCGTCAGTTTGTACAGGAATTCGTTACCTGCAGTGTGAAGGACAACTCTTAAATAGTGATAAAGTTTACATTAAAAGTGTGTTTAGATATGTCTTTACTAGCATAATAGCGTGTAGTGTTTAAGGTATTAAACTATGTATTAACACGTTCACATCAGTCAGCATAGTATGAATACAATTTTACCTAGATAGTATTCCCCGCTGAGGTTACCAAAGCCCTCTTTGTACTCGGCCCACGTTCTGTTAAAGTTCTCCTGGGTAGTTTGCTTCTGGCGGTTCAAGAAGACGGTCCAGCCGCCTCCGTCTGTCTCCATGTCACACCACACTTTCACCGGCTGGCTGCAAGTGCATCTGTAGGAAAGGGGAATGTGAAAGATCACGTACATTATAGACTCGTATTATTATAGTGTTCAACTGGACTAACTCAAATGTTGAGGCTTAATTTAACAAGATCTAAGGAAAGGAACAACTAACTGTAATTAGTAGACACGAGTGAATGTGTGGTTTCTGGAGCTGGTGTTGCTGTCGAGTCGTCATCTAGCGAACATTAACGCTGAGTGTAGTGGTGTTGCTATTCCCAATACAAAGTTGCTACTGGTACTCGACTGATTGTTAACAGGAAATACTCTTACTGAATAACAGTTAATAATTCCTAGCAGAGAGAGTGGGAGTCTGGTGTGGCTACTCACGTGAAGGGGTAGACCTCATAGATGCCGCTTGTGGTGGAGCCACGAATCAGATGGTCAGCACAGTCTCTGGGCCTGCAACATATCATTTAGCTTAACGCATTTCAGTATACATACAATGTACACTCGTGTCATTATGTGGCCCGAGAAGGACCGGTGAACGGTGTTTAGTATGTTAGACACGAAGACAGGAGAAAGCCGGACGTCCAACGGGCAAGCCTAACAGCTCTTAATGTGGTGTGTGTGTGGGAGGAGGAGGGGGGAATTCTCACTTCGCTGCTTCATTCTCAGAGACGAGTGTGCAACAAAGGGTATCCTCGACACCATCATTCGTAACGGTTCTCGCACAAATGATATCAAATTTTCAAAACTCTAAGCCAAGTGTGTTGTGTCAGTTTGTGAGAAGCCATAATGTCCTAAACCGAGTATGAGAGAAGTTACTTGGGCCTTGAATATTACAGATTAGCAATGAAAAAATGCATTCTTAGGATTTTATTGTCTGTAAATATCATTCAGCACTTTGTCAGTTGCACTGAAAAATAGCAGAAGTATATATGTAAGTTATACCAAAAGTTCGTTAGAAATTAAATTGAACATTTTCTTCAGTTGTTTGTAACACACTAACCTAGCGGCGGAGGTTCCTGGCGAGGGTCTGACAGCACCTCCCTCCGTCTGATTTTTTCTGTGGAAACAAAAAAAAATTGATACCAGTGTATCTGCTTCTTTCCTGACTTACAACTTCGGGGTTTTGTTAGCTAAATTTAAAGTTAAACCAAAGCAGGAAAGTCATTAAGGCCGCATTTCACATATGTGCCAATAATCAAGAATACTTTAATCCTTGTGATAGGAATTAATGTAAATTCCTTGAGTATAATGAAGCTGGTATAGTGACACTGACAGGTTGTAGGTAAAATACAGGAACTGATCAAAAATTAACTAAGAGAAGGTTTTCTATGAGTGGCGGCTTCAGGCCTAATGTAGAGTAACTAGAATTAATGTAGGAATAATAATAATAGTCTATATTTTTACAAGTACATGTACATGGTATACAAACCCCTTGTTATGCAGAGCATTTTGGGCAAAGTAGGTAAATTTTGCACTCAGGATGCGACCCACACCATGGTGTCGTGAACATGGACAGAAGGTGTCTTAAGGAAACACACTGTGTTTCCTTAAGACACCTTATGGTAGGAGAGGTCAGATGAATATAGGTTAAAAGTGAGGTAACGTAAGAGAAGTGTTGATGGTAGCGTCTGCCCAGGGTGGCCGCAACACCTACAGTGTATAACTCCAAGTCTTGAATGTTTAAATAGTTTATTATCTTATATTCTGTAAGTATTTATGTTTATCTGATCCTTGATAAACTAGAGTGTTTGAAACTTAAACATTTTACTGATATGATGAGGCAAATATAAACTAGGTGTTAGGAATTAATTTATTATAAGTTTAGAGTTATATATATATATATATATATATATATATATATATATATATATATATATATATATATATATATATATATTATAATATTTTATTAACACATCGGCCGTTTCCCACCAAGGCAGGGTGACCCGAAAAAGAAAAACTTTTATCATTCACTCCATCACTGTCTTGCCAGAGGCGCGCTTACACTACAGTTTATAAAACTGCAACATAAACACTCCTCCTTCAGAGTGCAGACACTGTACTTCCCACCTCCAGAACTCAAGTCCGGTCTGCCGGTTTCCCCGGAATCCCTTTATAAATGTTACCTTACTCACATTCCAACAGCACGTCAAGGTCTAAAAACCATTTGTCTCCATTCACTCCTATATAACACGCTCACGCATGCTTGCTGGAAGTCCAAGCCCCTCGCACATAAAACCTCATTTACCCCCTCCCTCCGACCTTTCCTAGGTCGACCCCTACCCCGCCTTCCCTCCACTACAGATTTATACACTCTCCAAATCCTTCTGTTGTGTTCCATACTCATTACATGTCCGAACCACCTCAGTAACCCCTCCTCAGCCCTCTGGAAAATAGTTTTGGTAATCCCGCACCTCTTCCTAATCTCCAAATCTTCCTAATCTCGTTACATTATATTTACACAACACATTGCCTTCAGACGTGACATCCTTCTCCTTGTTCCATCATTCATAACCTATGCTTCATACATTCACCTCAGAGCACCACTCACCTTTTTCCCCTCGTCATTTCTATGGCTCACCTCATCTTTCATAAACCCATCTGCTGACACGTCCACTCCCAAATATCTGACTACATTCACCTCCTCCATACTCCTTTCAATCTGATATCCAATCTTTCGCTACCTATTTTTTTTTTTTTTTGTTATTCTCATCACCTTTTTCCTACATTCACTTTTAATTTCCTTCTTTTACATACCCTATCAAACTCATCCACCAACCTCTGCAACTTCTCTTCAGAATCTACCAATAGCACAGTGTCATCAGCAAAAAGCAACTGTGACAACTCTCACTTTGTGTTAGATTCTTTATCTTTAAACCCCAGACCTCTTGCAAACACCCGAGTATTCACTTCTCTTTCAACCCCATCTATAAATATACTGAACAACCATTCTTAGGACTCTACTTGAGGTCGTATATGATCTTTAGCCCTGCTTTCCTCCAGGAAGAATACAGCTACGTACCCCAACACACATCAGTAACGATTCTAGACAAAAGGACGCTGTATTAATGTTGGTAGAAATGCCGGCAATATGTTAGAAAAGGACACAAGTGCAACTAATGTGACATTTCACTCTGGCAACGTTTCGCTCTCCGGGAGCTTTGTCAAGCCGTAACAACTTGACAAAGCTTAGGTGCATTTTATTGAGAAGACATTCTGTCCACTAGGAACATGAACTAATAACGTCCCTAGTGGACAAAATTTGTTATCAATACAATGCCATAAACTGCATATTGTACTTGAAAGCATATCCTACCATCGATATACTAGGAAAGGTGAGAAAGTTATCCATACAACCAGAAAAGGGACAGTCGCCAGAAACATTCTTAGTGTTGCTGGCCAGCCATGTTTCATTCATCTCTGTTTTGCCAAGAGTAAAGCCGGTATAGCCAACATCACACACGAGTACTTGGAAAACAAAGAGATACACACAAGAGAATTACACTGATGTATACACCTGTCATCCCATGTGGTGAAGTGCGTCAAACTTGACGTGGAGAAGACGTCTAGGTAACACACGTACGCATGTCAAAGGCGTGAGTCGAGCAACACCTGCATTATAAATGGAAACTCCCACAACCATCTTCTGAACTGCAAACCTCAAAAATGTAAAAATTAGCCGTCAAAGAAACTGACCAGCACAATAGATGTTGTTTAGAATCTGCTCTTATTGCAACTACCAATAACATCATAGCATTTTTATGATCTCAGTTCTCGCCAGACTCCTCTCCAGACCAGACACAGCCAGCACTTAACTCTACACCTACACGCTATACAAGACCTATGATCCACGGTATACACTCCATATACTTTGGTTCTCTGTATTGAATTGAAAAAGCCCTTGGCTAGCAGACATCACCTTCAGTGTCTTAATTCCTCCTTTTGACTTACTCATTATCCTTGGCCAGTTGGGCGTCCTGCTGGAAGGGTTGGGCGTCCTGCTGGAAGGATTGGACGTCTTGCTGGAAGGGCTGGGCGTCCTGCTGGAAGGGTTGGGCGTCCTGCTGGAAGGGTTGGGAGTCCTGCTGGAAGGGTTGGGCGTCCTGCTGGAAGGGTTGGGCGTCTTGCTGGAAGGGTTGGGCGTCCTGCTGGTAAGGTAAATCAACTTTAGTTGGGCGACCTGCTAGAAAATAACTTCATTTGGGCGACCTACTAAACCTGCAAGTAATCTCAGATGTTATCAGTTGGATTCTGGCATAATAACAAAAAATCACGACAATGTATTTCACGGCATAAATGCAGACAGTCTACATCTGCATGTACTTACCGCGGCTGCTTCGCCTGGCAAGTTGTTCAGATTAGTGGCGGTGGAGACGCCCAACACGCCCATCCACAAGCACGCCCACGTAATTCTCATCTCACTCTCCTAAGTCTCCGATATATTACTGAAGGAAAAGTGCATGTTTAGCATATTTTAAGTATGTATTTTTAAATATTTTTATTTAATCCCCTGGCTAATTTCTGCCTCATGGTGCTTGTCACATCTGCCGTCTCCCTGTGTTCAGAGACACTGGATTCATTTTTTGTGTGTGTGTAAATTGTATTGTCATTCAGAAATTATTTTGGAAAATAAATTCTCCATCAGTTACCTTTAATAATAGGTCTTTAAGATGTAACATTTCGCCATGGTGGCTGTTTTGCAACTATTTAAGATGTTCGCTACATTAAACTTCCATTTTGTGCATATCTGAATTACATTAGGAAGCAATGAACGAACAAAAACTCACAATACCGTTACTGGGACAATAGATAACTCTCACCAGAACGTCGTCATAAGTTTCTGTCTCCTATGTGCGAATTACTGGTATATAAGAAGCAATGCTCAAAATTACTAAACGCTGGTCACACACAAATTAAATTTCAATTCATTTTTGTTAACTTACATACTAGTGGATCCTGTTGCTGCCCGTTACTGCTCAAGACTAGTGCATCAATTTACTTGTTCCAGTCGTAATATTAGATATGTAGAAATATTTCCTAAATTTTAAAGCAAGAGTTTGTAAACACAGGGAATTATCAAACAGGAGCAATATTCCTCTGTCCAAACCACCTCAGTCAGCTATCAGAATTCATTCTGAATCTCATAATCATATACTGAGTCTATATTGTTAAACCACATATTTTTTTATATATTTAAGCATAATAGAGAGCATATTTATCCAACAACTTAATCCTAGACTCATAGATAATGATTCCTCAAGTAACTTATTGACTCTGAAGTAATTATACACTGGTCAACAACCAAAATACTTCCGAGACCAGAGTAGCAATTTCCAACTAATTTTAGGTCACTGATAATAAATATCATGGTTAAAATTGTTTGTTAGTTTTACTTTTCAATATAGACCTACGTGTCACAACAGGTTCCAACAGGCTTGTGGCAGTGTGTTTCTTACCACACTCACAGTCTCACTGACCTTCATTATTGTTCCAGCAGTCATAGAAGGTGGTTAGTGATGTACAAGTTTATATTTTGAGGTGAAAGGTTGGTAATTTTTTTAGCCAAACACATTTTAAACTTGTATACTGCCGCTACTGCTGCTTTTTATGTAAATGGGACAGCCGTGCAAGAGGTTCCCACTACATCAGGAGAGACTGGCCACCTCGTCAGTCATTGGAGCCTCGGATGAAAAATGTTCAACATCCACCTCATTGAACCAAAGAAGATTTTGCTACCACCACTACACATAAAACTGAGGCTTGTGAAAAATTTTGTAAAAGCTACGGACAAATCCGGTCAGAGATTTACGAATTTAACATCAAAATTCCCCTCACTGAGCGACACTAAGAGAGGGAGTCTTCAATGGTCCTCAGATTCGAGAGCTTCTTAATGATGGTGACTTAGAATCAGACCTTCATGGGGAGGAGAAAGCTGCTTGGGAAGCATTCAGGTTAGTGGCGAAGGAATTTCTCGGAAACAGAAAGGAAGGTAACTATGAAGAATTGGTGGAAAATCTCATCAAGGCTTACAAGAACATGGCATGTAACATGTCACTTAAAATCCACTTTTTGGACTCACATTTAGACTTTTTTCCAGCGAACTGTGAGGCAGTTAGTGACGAACATGGTGAAAAGTTTCACCAAGATATTTCAACCATGGAAAAATGGTACCTGGGCAAATTGGGCACAAGAATGCTTGCAGACTATTGCTGGACATCAAATATTACATGTCTCGTACCTTTAAAACTATAGCCAATAAGCATTTTTCAAGGTGATATTTGGATTTAAGACATGAAAACACATAAGAATTAAGTATCATTTAAGAAGCACACAACAATTGTTGGCTAGTGTTATAGTTTACCCTCTTTTGGTAAATTTAGTTTTCTGTATATTTTCAATGCAGCGTTTTGTCTCAGAGAGCAACAACCAGATTCAAGTATGACAGCATAATTTCTTTTACGTTTTTTAACATAGTATTTTTTTTTTAACATATATTTTTTTTTTATTTTTATATGTTTTCATAAAGTGTGGTCGTATTTTCTGTTATATACTATGGTTGTACATAACTGTTATTTTCCAGGATATGATGATAAATTGTCACAGAAATGTTGATTTATTACTTATTAAGTAATAAATCAATATTTCCTACCTGCCAAAATTATAATTCAAGCTAAATCCATTTTTCATATTATATAGTATGTCGTACGAATGGATAAAATTGGTCAATTAACAAGAACTCATTTACAATGAAGTCCTTTGTAAAATTTTCTCTTGTACGTGTAAAGATATATTTTTTTCATTTATGTTAATTTAAAAATTAATAATTTTGTACCAAAAGAACCTTAGAAAATTTACCTAACCTTATTATAACAAGCGCAATTTAATTTACCCTAATCCAACTAAATATATTTTAGATGAGTTTACATTAATTTAATAATAAACAAACACAATGAAATATATTTACTTCGTTAGGTTCAAAATGATTTTTGCGAAATTACTTCATGCACAGATTTTCTCTTGCCTCCTTATTCGGCAAGAAGAGCGTTGCTATTTATGCCAAAATCCCACGTTTTACCTATTCGGCACAACATATATATATATATATATATATATATATATATATTATATATATATATATATATATATATATATATATATATGTTGTGCCGAATATATATATATATATATATATATATATATATATATATATATATATATATATATATATATATATATATATATATGAGCAATGGAAATAAAACTCTACACTTCGACTCACAAGTGTAGTCCTCAGCAGCAGAAGGAAGAAGGGCAACAAATATACGAGTAACAAGTCAAGTGAAATGATAAATACATCACAGCATCTGGCCCAGAGGCCTGACGCGCTTCTGATAAAACTGATGGCTTCTTATATCTTATATATTTGCTACCCTTGTCAAGGTGCAAATTGGGGGAGAAGAAAATTAATTACCCTGTTATTTAATCTGTGGAGGAAGTGCCAGTATGTAGTCTGGGGAGGAAGTTCCGGTATTTAATCAGAGGAAGAGACACTGATGACAATGATAGATTAAATGTTCGCAATTCTCTTGTTACAAGAAAAAAAAAGATGTCTGAAAGAAGATAGGAACGATATAAGAATGTTTAACCCCCAAAGACTTTGCAAAAAACAAGGTGCTATAAAAACAATGATTGTGGTTTTTGGAGGCAAAAAGTGCAAACTAAATCAGTGATTCAACAGATGACGTGGAAGAGGGACTTTTCGGGGTGAATTCTGTGACAGTTTTGTGACCAAGTCATAGAACACTTACCCTGAGGGAACCTTCCCACGTCATGTGAAATCACAGAAAACACTGAAAAACTGTTCCATTTATTGAAGATCTCCATAACCTAGAACTTCTCACAGTATTAAAACTCAACGTACTTTTTTATGTTATAGCATTTTGAAGTGGTCAGGCAGACTTCCTGACCTTTGTGTATGCGCATCACCCATTGATATAGTTCAGTGGTATCTCCTCTCATTCTACATCCCTCAAGAGAGTGAAGGTTCAAGGTTCTCATTCTATTTTCATATGGGAGGTTCCTTATACAGTGGATCATCTTTATCATCCTTCTCTGTATGTTCTCCACTGAATTTATATCCCTTCTACAGTATGGCGACCAAAACTGAGGAGCATAATCTAAGTGAGGCCTTACTAGTTATGCAAAGAGCTGTAAAATAACTTCTAGAACATTATGAATAATCCAGCAACAACTTGGTTACAAACACACACATTCTTGAGCTTTGGAATGTACATTAGTACAGTGGTGGACCACCCCAAAGCTGCCACCAAATCCTTGTTGTTTGATCTCACCTTACAAAACAGTATTCTCATTTCGTGTACACCCTTAATTTTTCTGAAGTCTTGTGCAAGAGCCTGCTTCTCTACGTACATTTCATTGTGAGTTACCAGTGGAAGCTTACCTGAAGTTCTTCCTCCACGAGGGACTCAGAGAGTGTGTACTTGCAAGACACAAGTAGTAGCCGTGACAGGTTCTTATATACCCCAGCAAACTGTAATTAAGTTAGCTAGAGTGTGTGTTGATGACTACAGGTGTATATACTCCATGAAAAGCTCCTCATCAGTATCACTTCAAACGATCACTGCAGTACCCTTCCTGTTAATTAATTATGCAGTAATTAAAACATTATTTACCTTGGAATGTAAGTGTTCATTACCTTATATTTATTATGTAGTAAGTTGGCATACAGCAATCACCCAGGAAGGTACTACAGTACTGCCAACTGAGTGGAAAACGGAAACCTGTAATTGTTTTACACAATGGTAGGATTGTTGGTGTCTTTTCTTTCTGTTTCATAAATATACAAGAAAATAGGTACATCTTGCTACTTCTACTTACTCTTATGTCACACTACATGTACATGTAAATGAATAAGCATCCATCTGAGTTTTGTTCTTTTTTTTTTAGTTCTTGATCTTATCTATTTGGTTTCATTTCCCTGGGGAAGTGGAAAAGAATCTCCCCACCGGAAGTCATGCGGGGAACAAGGGGCTAGTAACCCCCTTCTCCTATATACATTACTAAATGTAAAAAGAAAAGCTTTATACTGGGAGACGAGCAGTATGTTAAAAAAATAATTATATTATAAAAAAAAACATGGGGTGTCAGAGAAAGGCTTTCTCAATAAAAAAAAAATATTTTTTAAAGAAAGTTTTTCATTACTTTAAATAACTGAACATAAGGATTTTATTGCCCAACACAAATTTGTATAAAAAATCAATATATATCGTACAAAAATTATAAAAAATGTATAGTATTCCCAGAAAGGAAAAAGTCAGTAGCGAGTGTCGAAATATTTTTTCTCTTCTTTCTGCAAAATTTTCGTGAGACTTGTACAGCTCAGTAGCGATACAAACCTTTCCTTGAACACGATACACCAGTGATGAAAGTTTGAATTCTATCAGAAGAAGCATTCTCAAATTGTCACAAAGAAACCAATATCACATGTTGGTCCACTGGCACAAAGTGGCACCTACAGGTGCCACTTTGCTGCCAGTGGACTATACCTTCTAGGTGGTGGACTATACCTTCGAGGTATAGTCCATCAGCTTGACTCAAGGGGTAGAGCCTTCGGCTCACTACATAAAGAGTTGGCGTTGCGTTCAAGACAAGTGAAAAACTTGGGCTTGTTTTCTGACACTTGTTGCCTGTGTTCACCTAGCAGTAAGTAGGTACCTGGGTGTTAGTCGACTATTGTGGATCACATCCTGGCTAAGAAGAACAAAGGTCCAAAATGTAAATAAGCTATGGTACTTGACTTTTCTGGGTAATCCTGCATGCACTAGACGGTAATGTTTTCACTTGTGATGTTCCTGAGGGAAGTTCCATAGCAGCAAGACTCTGGTGTTCTCGTTCTTATAAATTAAAGTTTTTGTGCACTTCAAGATTTCATGTAAACTCTTAGGTTCGAACTAGAAGCTTAAGGGTTTTAACAAACATTTTAAGCTTTTCCAAGAAATTTAAGGTTTTTACAAGCAGATGAGAGATAGATATATAATATAAATATCCCAAGCAGGAGAAATAATCAAACTAAGACTAAGTGCATATACAGGAAACATAGCTAACAACTTGAGTGTCGTGACATACCTGCCAGTGAGACACACGAGAATGCAAACTATTGATTGCTGTAACCCATTCTCGTACCACAAAAGACAATCATACATAGTTGAACGTTTTCTGGTTACACCATACTTGGGTTAATATCATTTAATAGGTTTATATAACGCAACTTAGAGAAAATAATTATTAGAACCATTTTGAAATTCTCAACCAAGTCGAGCCCTCAGTCCAGTTCACACTAGAAGTCGACAACACTCTTCCTTTCCTTGATGTTCTTCTCTGCAAAACTGACCATGAGCTTCGTTTTAAAGTCTATCGAAAACCTACCAACCAACACGATCTTCTCCACTTTTACTCTCACCATGACAACAAAATTAAACGTGGTGTAATTAGAGGCTTTTTCCTGCCCGCACTCAGAATCTGCAGCAGTGAGTTCCTTGAAGAAGAGTGTTCTCTTATTGAACAAGTATTTTCTAAACTTCATTATCCTCGTCACTTCATTAGAGACTACAGACGACGGGCATGAAACATCTTTAACACACCCAGAGAAGACTGCCGAGAAGAGATACATAGTCCTCCCCACCAACTCCATTGCCAAACACGTTTGCAACATCTTTTCCAATACCTCATTCCAGGTATCTACCTCCATATCCACCACCATCAAGGACATTCCCAGTAATAGAGAGGACAAGCTTCAATCCTCTGCAGGGGTATACACAATCCCTTGTAATGACTGCAGCAAATTATACGTGGACGAAACATACAGAGAACTCCAAACGCGTATTTCAGAACACCAGTACGCAGGCAGATTTGACGATCCAAGGAATGCCTGTGTTCAACACCGAAATTCCCACAACCATTTAATCAACTACAGAAACGCAAGACTTATCGCCAGAGAAGACAATACTCAATACCGAAGAATTCTGGAATCATAACTTATCTGTATATCAAACAACTTCAACCAGAACAACGGCTTCTATTACATAGCTGAATCCCTCGCCAAGAAACTTCTTCATCGCTATCCCACATAAGAACATAAGAATCTAGGAACACTGCAGAAGATCTACTCGTATACTTATCCAATCCCTTTTTAAAGTTACCCAAGGTTCTAGACTCTATCACCCTTCTCGGAAGACTGTCACATGCAGCATTCTCCACCTGCCGCCATCCTATAAATACTCGCGTACCTTTTACCAGGTAGATCTGTTAAAGTCCATTGATAAAGCCCACTGCGTGGGCGAAACGCTGTCATTAAAGGATCATATAATACTGATTAAGTGTTTATATTTCCATTATACCATATTACACCATTTATGTTATACCATTTTTTTCCAATGTAATAAGATATAGCCTGAGATGGGATGGAAAACAAAGAAGCACAGTTTTGGTTCTTGCAAACACATACAAACAGGGAAAAACTGATAGAGCAACACTAAAGCTCTCCCCGATTAACACTGAGGGCCTCGAATATTCCACTGTAAATAAACCATGATTGGCTAATAGAGCGTAATAATAACATTTTGCAGGTGTCTACAGACTAGGAGGGTCAGTAAAGTCAGCATGCAGTGGCAATGGGAAACTAATAAGGAGTGAAGTATTGGGATGAGGTGAAGAAAGGCGCGGAAGTTGACAATGTGGAGTGGCGGTGGATTGACCAGTGTCCATCATAATTGTCTCCTCGATAAGCGCGGAGATGGTTTCAATAGTCTCAGATGAGAGAGAAGTCGGAGAGAGCTTGGCAGTAGAGGGAAAACAGGTAGAGTAAAATGTGGAGAGACAACAGAAGACACCAAAGGTAGGGTTGGTGCTTTGGCAAGCAGAAATTTCTGGAGGGACAGGCGAGGGAGCAACTGCATGTGGGGATGGATGAACCTCCATAACAGTATCAGATGCATCTCCAGGTGAAGCTCGAAACTCGGAGAGAAGTACGTTTGTGAATATCATGTTTGGGGTTGAAGGAGATTTAGACGTAAATGAAAATGTAGATTTTGGAGAAGGGATATGTGGCGTCCATATAGGTTGGAGGGGGCGCGTAGACGTTGAAACATGTAAGTAGGAAGGTGAAGAAGTAGGGACAGTAAGAGATGATGAGGCTGGAAAATCAGAGCCCAGGACTGTAATAGGGTTGGACTCAGTTCCCTTCATGGGACAAATGGCCATAAATTTAGAAATTCGAACTGAACTCCCTATAGTGGATAGAGTAACTCAATATAAGGTCAATGAGCCCATATAAATGGAATTCTGATGGTTAGTTTTCAAGCAATTGCTAGTCAGTGAAACCCTAATTTATTATGGGCTGCCCATTTAAAGGAGTATAAATTTGGGTGTTGCAAACTTGCAAAGGTTAATAAAACAGCAAATAACTATTTTTTTAATTTATTATACAAACATACAATATAAAAAACATAAATGGAACTTGTATCCAAACCTTTTTTAGGTATTAGAAAAATATAAAAAGAAACCAAATTGCTACATTGACACATTGCAAAGGGATATAATTTTCAAGTCCCATATTCCTAAATTCCCTGAGAAAGAACATTCATTGTATATTAGTAATTGCTAGAATGGAAGGGTGTGAAGCAATTTTTATCCTTCTTTATGCATAGATTTACTTTGCATACGAAGCAAAAAAATGACGATGTGGTATAATTGTTCTTGTTCAACAGGCATCTCCTCGATCCTAATACTTTTCTTTTTCTTGACTACTTTTCCCTTTTTGTCTGGGGTTTCTTCCTCCTCATCATCACTTGACACCTCTGCATCCAGTGGCAAGTATTCATCACCACTTTCAAGCAATTCTGGGTCATCTACCTCCAGTTCTGAGTCACTTTCCTCCAAAACACAGACATTTTGACTTGGTGTTGGAGGGCTCACCATAAAACAATTTCTCATTGATCTGGAAGGACAATAAAAACGTTCTGTACACATCCAGACCACTACAAAATTCATATAAGCAATAGAAATATTTTTTATAAATATTTATTTACTGAAATTGAAAAGTGGCCCTAAAAGGGCACAACAAAATTTTTTGAGATCTCTTTTGTTGCACTATTTTCATTTGCATGGTACACTCATATTATGCTTCACACGGCCTTTATATATATATATATATATATATATATATATATATATATATATATATATATATATATATATATATATATATATATATATATATTTTTATTAACACACTGGCCGATTCCCACCAAGGCAGGGTGGCCCGAAAAAGAAAAACTTTCACCATCATTCACTCCATCACTGTCTTGCCAGAAGGGTGCTTTACACTACAGTTTTTACACTGCAACATTATCACCCCTCCTTCAGAGTGCAGGCACTGTACTTCCCATCTCCAGGACTCAAGTCCGGCCTGCCGGTTTTCGTGAATCCCTTCATAAATGTTACTTTGCTCACACTCCAACAGCACGTCAAGTATTAAAA